AACACAGTGTTTGGGGTACATTTGCATTCGGGAGGAGGGGGAGAAAAAGCAGCTGTCCAAGGTCGATCCTGTCTATTTATGTGTCTTAACCATGTTTAATGTCATATATAATGATGCAGTTTGTATATATGGAAAATATTGCTTGTTACAAATACATGAGACACTTTTAATGAAGTATGTATGGCTGGAGGGGGTTGCAAATTCTTTGCTGCTCTGATTTAAAAAAAAAAGAGACTCTTTGAAGAAAACAAAAATTTGAGAAGGGGATTTCATTTGTTTTGTGTGGGTATTTTTTTTTCCAATTAAACCTATTTTGGTTTCTCTACTGTCCAAAAAAACATGATAAGTTTTAAACAAAAGTGGAAGTTTTCCACTTCATTTTGAAATGTTTAGTGGAAAATACTTAACAGTATTACAATCAGACCTACTTGTGCTGAACATTTTTAAACCGAGGTGCCTGAAGGTTATTCAGCTACTTAGAAAATGCATCCGGTCACAGCTGCTGAATGTCCCTATTGATTTCAATGCGAGTTTGGAGCACCTCCTGAAAAGCAAGTCCTTTTTATTCAGCTGGGTGTATATGTATCCAAGATCCTAATTTCAGGCATCCAGGCTTAACAATTGTAGCCTATATTCCTAATTCTTCAGGTGCCGATACTCTTAAAAAAAGGAAAATCAAACTGGAAGTGAGGTGCTGCATTAATCCAGGAACAGTGCCCAAAGCTTTCCTACCCAAAAGTGCTTTACACACAAGTGCTAATTATGTCTCTTCCCCTCTGAGGCATGTACTGTCGTTATCTTTCAAACAGAAAAGCAGAGATGGAGATGGCCAGGTAAAACTTGTAAACCTGACCAGGGATTTTGGATGCCCGACTGTTAAATTCAACCCGAGGCGTATTAAAAAGGTGGCTAATTTTCAGTTAGATATTCAATGCCTACGCTCTGAAAATCAGGCCCCTTTTGAGGCGTCTCAAGCTAAGCATGCAAAAATTGACAGACTTTAGATGTTAGCATTTGGCCTCTGGGCAATTCTACCTGCTTTCCTGGGACAATGACTTCTGAAAAGCTGTAGGAAGGATCAATACAACATAATTACTGACATGACTGGGATTCTAGAAATATCCCATCCCAATGCTTTTCATGTTTGGCTCTATTCGCCCGTGTTTATTTCAAGGTTGTGTTTGGAGAATGCTTTGGCTCTGTCCCAGTGCAAATTGGGCTGCTGCAGTAGTGATTTTCAAGACTAAGCAAGAATGGGGCTTGCTAACAGCCAGACTAAGGTATGCAGACTCCCCTTCTGCTTCTGCTGAGTGAAATAGGAGAGTGGAAATATCGTGGTGGTGAGTTGCAGAGGAGACTGCACAGCTTGTATGGGCATTAGGACTCCTAAAACAGTTGCGTCTCAACAGGCACCTTGTTCTGATGTGTTTGTGGACATATCTGGTAATGAGAGAGAGCAGAATATTTGAAAAAGTTGGGCCTGAAACAACACCTAGATCCATCTGGGTCCTGAACTGCCAGTGTCCTGGGGAGCAGAGTGAGAATTAAATAAGGGGTTTTGATTCAGATACCCAGGTGAATTAAGGATCTCAGCTGCTGTGAAGAACCAGCTCCTTGTTTTTGATCCCTACGGAAGCATTATACAGCAGAAGCAGCACCACTTACCTTTGCCTTTACATTCACTGATGATTTCTTTCGTAACTTGGTAGCTTCTACCTATGTAGGTGTCATAAGACTCTGAAACCGCTAACTTGCTGACAGGTATATGAGGTCTATGGGTAGAAAAACAACAATCACAGTAAGCTGGAGAGAGCCTGAGCTGCGTGCTGAACAGACACTACTGTTTGCTGTGAGTGATAGTCAGCTATGTGAACTGATCATTAGAGGGGAAATGAGATGCACTTACTTATCCTAGCATGTTACCATTGCAGGTGGAGAGTATAGGAATATTTGGTTCTTTTTACGCTCTTTGCTAAGAAGACCTCAAAGCATTTTCTGATGATTAAACTTCCCAGCACCCATGTGAAGTGTGCAGATGGGCAAAGCCCTGTGTTAGCGAGGCAAAACAAAACACCCAGACTGTGTCTTTCCTAAGTTTTTTTTTTTTTTTCAAATTTATCAGCATTAGAGTCCAGCTCTGCTAGTGCAGTCCTAGAGGCAGGGGTGGTATTTTTACTCTTGTAAGACACTGGGGTCCTAGTCATGGATCTGCACCCTACAGTGCTAGGCACTACACACCCAAGGAACAAGAAAACAGTCCCCGTCCCAAACAGCTTATGATTTAGGAATAAGGTGAGAGAAAACAGATGGATACAGGCAGACTGAGTACAAGGAAACCATGAGACAATACTGATCAGTGTGGATAAGTAAGACAATGGCGTTCTTAATCAGAGCATTGTCTAGCTCTGCTCAGAGCAGAGGTGCATGAAGGGGTGGTGGAAACACAAAACACTTCTGCTGTTTTGGAAATGTGCAGGACTACTTTGGTGAGAGATTAATGACCACCTTTGCGTAGGCAAAACGAGTGACTTACGCGATGTCTGGGTAGCTAACAACTTTAATGGGAGTAGAGTGAGGGCCAAATATTACGATGGGGGAGTGGAGAAGGAAAGGGGTGCAAAAGGTTGCATTTTCTATTCACTGGATACAAGGGAAAGCCCTGTCTCTTCCCCTCTCCACCACCCAGTAGCCAGAAGAAATTCTCATTGGTGTCTGTGGGAATTACTCATCCTCTGTGGCAGAACACTATGGGCTCCAGTTTCCCTCACCATCAGACCACACAAGAATTGTTTTGTTTTGTTTTTTTTCTCACTAGAAGAATATACCTTATGTTCTTCCCAGAAGGCTTATGCTTCCTGAATGGGCTATGTCTGTGGTCCAACTGCTTCGCTATGCGTTAGCAATATCCTTTTTGGAATAAGTACTGGCTAAGCGTCTTGATTTAGGAACATTATGTATACTAACTATATATTTCCATATAGTCAGAAAGTTTAATTTGCAGGCAGGAAGAACCAAATACAAGCAGTCATATGGTATAATTAGACATGAAAGGATTCAAAGTGGTTTTTATGCTGCTTTGGTTGCTTATGTCTACTTGGTCATTCTGAAATGGAAAGTAACTCTGGTGTTAGGGCCTATGGTTTCTGGTGATGTCACAAACCACAAAAAGCACCAGCAGAATAATTGTTCATCAGACCCGGTGAGGTGGAATTCCCATGCACAGAATTTACCACTTGGGATGGTCTGTGTCTGAGATCTCTTAGTGTACAGTTGGTATCCCTCCCCTGATGCTTAACCACATGGGTCATTGCTTATGGGAAATCAGACTGACACTGCTGTTGTACCACTGACACTGTCCTGACCAGAACTATATGACCTTTCTGGATTCAGTCGCTGGGTGGGGAGACTCTAAACGTCCAGTATTCATAAGTCTTAGAAGTGGGAAGACCTACAAGATCATCTTGCCTTCTCCTTAGCCCCCTGTCAGATAAGCAGGGCTATTCTTGCATGCTGCTTTATCTAGGCTTTTTCTTTGCCCTTGAGCTGTTTACAATGCTGATAAGACAGTTCATGTGTTTGCATCCTGCTTCATATATGCTTCAAGCAGTAATTCCCATTGTGCGAGGAGGAATTGTGTTCGGCCACCATTTGAACATTAGCTAAAGGCAATGGCATTCAACAGCAGAAGCTGCTGGCATCATAACTAGGTATAAGAGAGGCAGTACAGTCAGCATTAACAGCATGAGGTATGGGAGTATGGAGTCTATGCCAGGCTCTTAGGCTAAGCTAAGGCCTTCTCTTCTGTTATGGGTACGAGACGGTACTGAAGAAAGAGGCTTTCTCTAACCAAGAGTTTTGCTTACAGTGATACTGAAAGTTTTCAAAAATGTGAGTTCTGCATTTATTTCTGCAATCTTTAATATTCACTTTAGGTAACAGGCTTCTGAACTATTCAGAAAGAAAGCTGATTTTTCACATGGATACTTAGTACTTGAAAATGTCAAACGTAGACGTGAGAAACAGGGGCCCTGTAAGGAGTTAACCATTAACCTACAGTTCTTGTTGAAGCTGACTGCTGTCCCAGGTGCAACATGACAGTAGCACAGAAAGGAGGGACAAACAGGAAAATTAAATGCTGAGGACCAAAGCTTCAGCTGTTATAAAATCATACTGCTCCAGGCACCTGGGGATCCAACCCTAAGAAAAGGAGGAGAGATCCAAGGGTGGATATTTGATACAGACAGGATTCTGGTGACCCGGCCCTCTGGACCCATGGTGTTACAGGGCACTTGGTGCACCTGTCAAGTTAGAGGAAAAACTGCAGGAAAAGGAGCCTACAGGTGTGACATGGGCCAATTAAAAAGCCACCTGACCAGAAGAGGGCTGGGCTTGAGGCATATAAGCCGAGGGCCTGAGCTGGCCAAAGAGTCTAGCCCCAGGAGCCAGAGAGAAAGGAGCTCTTGGCAGCAGGGCTTTTTAGCAGAACAGAGCCTGGGAATATGGGAGACCTGAGAACAGAGATGGGTAAGCCTATAGCCTAGGGAGTCAGGCTGGCCTGGGAAGAGAGAGGCCTGGAAATAGGGGTGGATGAGCTCGTTGCCTGGAGAAAGGCAGAGGCAGGGCACAGCAGACTGGGGCTAAGGCCTGTAGCCTTGGAGAGGTGGTTATCAGCAGGGCCTGGGAGACTAAAGATCTCACCAGCCCAGGATCAGGGTCAGGGCCCAGAGATTGCGAGGGGGGGGAGAGGGGAAGATGAGCAGGTCCACAGCCAGAGACTAGTGGGAACAGAGGAGCCCAGGAGTCTCTTTTTGGCATAGCAGGGCTAGGGTCTGGAGAGGAGCCAAAGACTAGAGCTCACAGCTGGAAGCCAAGTAGAACAAAGAGCCTGTAGTCCAGGAAGGGCATGTCAGCATATCATCTGTGAGGCATGAGAGCGGGTATTGGGGATGATGGAGGCTGTATAATTAGCCCTTAAGGCCATGATTATGGATACCTGTGGCTATAGGAGTAAGACCAGGCTTGGGAAGATGTGGGGCTGCCTCCCTTTCCTCAGACCCTAATAGCATCAAGGTGTAGTGGATGAGTAAAGGGGAGAGTGTCCAAAGGGAGCCAGGTTGGCAAGGGTATCCTGGGCACTGGGGGCATCGTGACCACCCCTGGGACAAGCACTTGCTATGCATGGGTAGTTTACAGCAGCACTGTTAAGTGGTCATGTGCTGGCTGCGCGCTAGGTAGGGCCAGGGCTATCTAAACTGGGGAGATGATAAAGGGAGCAGGAGTGAAAGGAAGCCAACAATTCTCTTGTGAGGATACCATGATTCTTTTGGTGGATGAAAATGTGTTCCTCAGTATGCTGCAAAGTGTACAATTGAGGGCCTTTACCATGCAGTTAAACACACAAACACAAAGCTGAGGTTTCATCAGCAGGGCCCCTGGGTGTGACTAACCATGGCTTAGCTTGGGCTATAAATTTCCAACCCAGAAAACTGAGTTGGGCAACCATATCTTTGATTACCTTTAGAACAGAGATCAGCCTGGGCTGCACAGTTCAAATCCAGACCACACATCTCAAAGATCTGGAGAGGGGCAAGGACTGAGAGCTTAAACCTGGTCTGGGAAATGTCCCCCTTGGCCAGGCTCAGCTGCACTAACTGGGTGCCTGAGGACTCCACGGGAACCTGGCACAGGGGATGTAGCTGCACTCGGGCACTCCTGGAAGGCCCCAAGGCCTCTCTAACTGATTCTGGGAGCTGAATCGACTCCTAGCAGTTGCAGGAGTTGGTTGAGTACAAAGGTGACCTATGGCTTGGCCAGACATGAGGGTTGGGTCCCCAGTGGCTTCTTTCTTCCTACTTCTGCTTTAAGTTAAATATATTATCGAGCACCGTTCTTTGCTGCTACCTGTATGTTGTATCAACACTCAGATTGGCTGCTGCTAAATCCACTGGGGGTATCCAGGCAGGTAAAGTGGTGCCAGAGACCCATTTTGTCCACTCGAACAAGCCTGGCTCTACTCGAATCTTCAGAGTGTTTTCTTGTTGCATACCTGAAAGAGTAAACAGTGGAATAGAAAATTAATGAAAGCAAGAAGGGAAAGGGGGTTTAAATTTGAGAGACTTTATTGCTAAAGTGTGATTAGGAAGCAGTTAATTTTTCTCTGAGTTGGAGCTGGTGGGATTGGTTGTGTGCAAACCAAGTATTTACTTGTGCCTGTAGTCAGCTGGCCATAAACAGGATCAGTATGTGCATCCTTACTGATGTGCTGCAAACTAAATCAATGCATCTAACTTGGCTTTGCTGTGTGCTTTGTTTGGAGCCCTGTTTGGACTGGAGCTTCCACATGCCTGAGGCATTCAGAGGCAGCAAATGTGCTGCTGACACTGAGGAGCAGGTGTTGGCACCTCCTGCACACCTTATGCTACCAGTTCTAGTGCCAGGGGAGCTAACACATTTGCATTCACTTTTCAACCTAGTCTGGGAGTTGGCTTCATTCCTCAAGACCCCATGGAGTTTCTCCAATGCAGAAATAGTGCTAGTGATTTTCTGCAAACCAGCAGAGGGCACTCGTGCTTCTCGTACGTGAAAGCAGGGCCAGGCGGCGTTAGGGAGGGTGGGTGGATCCTTCAGCAGACGGGTGTAGAATGCAAAATAAATACAAAAATGTTCATGGCAGACATTGGGGAACAGGTGCTCCCCTCTACTAATTTGCTTTTAATTGCCAAATACAATGTTCATGTGATTTCTACGCTGGTAGTGCCTAGATGCCGACACTCTACGTTACAGGGGCAGTGGCCGTCATATATAGCAAAGAGAGAGTTCCCCCTTCCAAAGGGGCTAGGACCGAGGCACCTATACTCTGGCTTACCCATAACAATCGAGCACAATTAATTCCTACCGATAGTTTAAATAATTGCAGAGAACATTTGCAGACACCTTTGCACATCCCTACTACCTCGGTCATGTAATGCACCAAGCGCTGATACCTAGGTTCATAACCTAATCAGGGGCTGGTAATGTTTTTCAGGCCACGGGCTAGAACAACTCAGCTCCAGTCTGACATGGGGGAGAGGCAGAGCAGGGAGAAGAGGCAGCAGCATGGACACAGCTCCCTGGCTACAGTGAGGCTCCTTGCTGTTCTGCTTGGGCATGGGCACAGGCACAGTGAAGCCTGGTGTCTCTGTAGGCTGGATCTGGCCTGCAGGCCATATGTTGCCAACCTCTGATCTAGGTCATTAGAATCTGTGATAACTAGAGCATGGGATACAGAAACTGCCCCAGAAAGCAAAATTACCAATCTAGCTAGCCTGGTCTCCTGACTTCAGTAATGGCTTCCTATTGCATATGGCCTTGAAACATTGCTATTCCATTGTGTGAAGGGAAGGACATCCACTCCTTGCATCAACAGTGAATGGTCCAATGCATCGGTGCTTCTTGTTACTTTATCTGCATAGCACATGGAGCAGGGGTGCTGTATTTGAGGCCTTTCATTAAACAAGTGGGATTTGGGAACTCCATTGCTGGTTCTCCTTCTTTCTTTCCTTCTTACCTTTAAGAATATTGTGTGCTGTCTGTACACAACGCAGTGATGGGGAACTGTAGATGTAGTCCACAATGGTCTTGGTCTCTAGCAGGGCTTCACCTGCAAGGAACATTTAATATTACTGCTGCAGATGTAATATCAGGATGCATGTAGAACAGTTTATCTACCACGTTTTATTTCGGCAGTACACTGTACTTTACTGTATGTGCAGACATGAAACCAGAATATGTTTTCCTGTGGACTGAATTTCTGAGAACTTAGCAAGAAGAATCACAGTCATTTTGTTACCGGGATGGTGGCAGCCTGTTTCAAGAGAGATGCACACATTGTGTTCTCTCCCAAAGACTTTTGCTCATTTTTGCAATTTTCCCTCTTAGATTGCCACCTCGGGCTGAAAGCAAATGGGTGCTCTTTGTGTGTGGGGAAACCAAACTGGCTTGACTTTATTTTGTTTCATCTCTCCTGATGTAAACCAGGAACAACTCCACTTATCCCAAGAGGTCAGAATGTCAGCAGGTATAAATCACCATTGCTACATAGGTGAGCTTCATTATGCTGGTGTAAAATCGGTGAAAGACTGATCAGCATTGGGCTCAATGTTATGGTTGCTTACATTAAAGCAGTGCCTACAGAGTTCAAATGAATTTGGGACCCTGGTGCAGTGGGTATCGTATGACAGCAAGCTTGTATAAAGTTTGCAATAAAAATAAGAAAGGGAGAAGGAATAAACTACTGATCCCAATTGCATGCGTTTAATTGTAGCTCGGCCTGCAGCTCAAAGAGCCGTGTGCGTGTGT